CTAATTATCCTCAGCCGCAGCCGAGTTATCCTGCTCCTCAACCAAATTATCCTGCTCCACCTCCTCAGCCGAGTTATCCTCCGCCACAACCGAGTTATCCTGCTCCCCAGCCAAATTATCCTCCAGCACCAAAACCTAATTACCCACCTCCTCAACCGAGTTTTCCTTCTCTACCTTCTGAGCCTAGTTATCCTTCTCCAGCTCCTAAATCGAGTTATCCATCTCCTAAACCAACTTATATTTCGCCACAGCCGAGTTATCCTCCTCCCCAGCCCACTTACCCACCAGCACCAAAACCTAATTACCCACCTCCTCAACCGAGTTATCCTTCTCCACCTCCTCAGCCTACATATCCTCCTCCTCAACCTAATTATCCGCCTGCTCAGCCAAGTTATCCACCATTACAACCAAGTTACCCTCCTGCTCCTAAACCAAATTATCCTCCATCTCAACCAAGTTATCCTCCAGCTCCTAAACCAAATTATCCTCCTCCTCAACCTAATTATCCTCCTCCACAACCAAGTTATCCCCCAGCTCCTAAACCAAATTATCCTCCTCCTCAACCTAATTATCCTGCGCCTCAACCAAATTACCCTCCTCCACAACCAAATTACCCTCCTCCACAACCAAATTATCCCCCAGCTCCTAAACCAAATTATCCTCCGCCTCAACCAAATTATCCTCCTTCTCAACCCAATTATCCCCCATCTCAACCAAGTTATCCTCCCTCTCAACCAAGTTATCCACCGTCTCAACCTAATTATCCTCCGTCCCAACCAGGTTATCCTCCTACAGGGGGACAACAAAAAATGATATACTTACCACCTCAATCGCAATCGCAATATGGCTGAGGCAAGTACATACGTCTACGATCTATAAAGAATTTCCGTGTTTGACTTACGTACATACTTTATAAGGCTGATAAGGTCGTGTATTCTTAAAAGTATCGATAAGTAATATATGTACAAATTTTAAATATATTTCTTTTGTTTATAAGAAACAATTATTTTTGAAGACTGTTACGATAATGACGATTAATTGTTATACAGGAAAATTGTAAGTGTTACGCCACTAGTTACTTCATTTTGCAACAATGGCTGACAATTTTATTTGCTTTATTCGTTTGAAACAAATTTCTAAGGTTAATTTATTATTCATTTTGAATTTTGTATTTATATTGTTTGTAATACTATGTCGGAAAGCATATTCTTGTTATAACGTCGTAATCAAATAACATTCTTCTTGCAAACAAAAGAAACAATACACCTACTACTTATATTATATATCCTTGAGTGATGTCCATAACTGGTTTTAGATATTCTGTTTAAAAAATCTGAATTCCATCCAAGGACAATCTCTACTGCTCTCCAGTATATGTATCCTGAAATCTTCAGCAAAAATTAACGCCTTGCCAATGACAAGCGAAGATAATCATTTTTGTAATCGTAATGCAAAAGATTTTGTAATTATATAGCGTAATACCTTACAATGTAAATATGTATTTTGTAATGTGATGAATATTTAAATGCTTAAAATGTGAGATCAGACACATCGAACCATTCGCGTTTATCAATTTTTATTAGACTGTGGATGTTTATGGATTAATGGCAAGTCGAAATATAAGAATACATATGCGAATGTTTGTAAATGCAAAAATATATAAAATATCAACAATAATATACATGTTGCATCGTTTAGAAGACAAGACGTACTTCCATTTAAACATAAATTTTTTTATTAGATTACATGTATCTGTGAAACTATGAATTTGCATGAACATCCACAGTTTAATTATTATCGATTCTTTCGTGTCAATTGCAATTTTTTTAATTGAAGTTACAATAATTGAGTTAATTTTTGTATGAGTATATATTTATCGAACGAATTGTTGATCTTATGCTTAATCACATCTATAAATTTGTCGTGAAAAATAAACTTATACACGAAGCACATTCATCGGCGAACTTTAGAATTTAATAAAATGTACGAATGTAAATCATTTGCCTGTAAATGTATAATAATTTGAGTCTCTTCCAATGTATGTTTTCCATATTTAAGAAACAAAAGTTTAAAATTATTATATAAAAATACAAAATTGAAGTATCATATACCGTATGAAATGTATTAAATAAAATGACAAGCTTATAAAATCTAATCTCGAGGACATTAATAAACATAGTAGAATGCTATTGAATGTTTAAAATCTGAAAATATTTTAACGTTGACACGAAATCAATTTAATATCATATTCGTTTCCCGAATATACATTCTAAAATGATAGCACAATTTTTACATTTTCACTTTAACCTTCTCATTTGAAACACTAAACGTTTCCCGTCATCGTAGTTTAAATGTTTGTATATTGCCAACGTTTCCAAAAAGAACAGCGCTTAAACGTTAATGTTAATAGGAAAATTTCGCGTTGTTAAGCGAATTAACCATGTACATAGATTTATTAACAAAACCAGGTTTATTTTAAATACAGTTTGTACGATACCAGCTAATGCGACTACAATGAATATCACAGCTTTTCTCAGGTAGACATTCTGAATGTCAGTCTCAGTAGCTTAAACATATTAATCGGCTAATCGTTACGCTTACGTCTAATTGAGTAGTGAGTAAATTGTGAGTACTCATCCCAGTTAATCGTCATCATTCCGAGTCGACGTGTAGCTCATATTAAACAGAAATATGTTTCGACGCGAAACATATGTTAAATCTGGGCTACACTAATGATGAGAATTAAGCAGCCATCATCCAACGTGTTAGCATTCTACATCTAACGGGATATGACTATATACAATTTCGTTATATTTGTTACAATTACGATTTCCTTACGAAAGAACACGATACATCGAAGTTAACGATTCTTTCCACATAAAAACTGAAAACATTCAATTATATTTACGCTATTTACGCCAAATACAACAACCATCGAAACACATATATTTTTAAATGTCTAATTATACATATATTGCAATCAATTAAACCCATTAATTTGATATTAATTTAATTTAGCTATAGTTTTTTAAGCAAATTAACTACACCAACTAATCAATCATCGAGAATCTCAGTTTTTAAATGGAACTTTTAGCCGTTGCTCGCGAAATAATTAATCTCATTAGTTTGAAGCAATAATTGAAGAAATACTTACATCGTAGATCGCTCTTTAATAAAAATAGTCAACCGATATCACAATTACTGCCTTAAGGAAAATAGTTATTACAAATAAGTATGTCAATTCGAACGACATCATTATACAGAAAGTAACGTGCATGTTGATTACGAAACACTGCTAGTAAAATTCTATGAACGTTTCATTGATCCTAGCGAAGAAAACGAGTTCACGATGGAAAAAAGAATAAGTCCTTCTGGTATTGCAATTGCTGATGATTAATTATGTAAAGTTTATAGTAGCGATCGTGAATCGTAAACAACGTACTTAAATTTATATACGAAAATATATACATATAGATCATCCCCTTCCTCGTGGTTATGAGAAAATAATCTCTGCGACTAATAAACATTCGATTCGCGCGTTATAACGGAACGAAGGCAGTGCAACTTTATATTGACTGGAAAATTTGATTATCCGGTTTTTCTTGCTTTTCATTCGACTCCGATTTCTGTTAACTTGTCCAAGCAATCGTACGACTTCGATTGAACGATGTATCTGTAACATAATCATTTCTTCGTTAGAATAACGGAAGCTGAAGCGCAATTATTAAAAATATATTATGCTAGATTTAAACATATTCATGAATTCAGAAATGTTTAATATTTGTGCAAACTTATGTATGACAGATTATTTTATACACTGTGATTAGTCATTTGGTAATTATCAGATTCGATGTTTCGCTAAGGTGAATGTTGTGATACATGTTATTGAAAATTAAATATAATATCGATTTAGTGATAAGATATTCCAAAAATATTTGTAAAAGTCATTTCATTTATAATGAATCATTTGATCAGTATACTATTTAAAATAATGATACGCTGTTGAAAATGGTTAGATGACTATTAATTGAAATGATTTTATCCAGCAGTAAGTTATTTCATGATTTGGTAACTCTAATTGTTTTATAAGAATACTATTTTCATCCCTTACATTCGGTTCCAATTATATTAATATTTAATTTATTAAAATTTGTGGCATATCTCTGACGTTGAAAACGTTTATGTGTATCTCTATTGAAATAATCTGTCACTTGTGCAAGCAAACAGGTAGTTTCAAAAGCGGCTTGCCATTACCAGCGTATTCTACTAATAAAATTGTTTTTAAAAAGTGTTATACAAAGATAGATTCGCGAGTACTTAATTTTCAAATTACAAACATTGAAAGCTGTATATTATTATTAAATATTATTTGGCATGCATCAAATCCGACAGTAAAATGCAATTATAATCGTAATTAGATACCGAATGATGACAATGGGAATAATAACTAAGTTTTAGTTTGTTTTTTTTTTTTTGCTAAATTAACTAACTTTAAATAAATCTTGTAGCATGCAATTTTAAAAAGCAATAATTCGTAAAAAGAACTTCACACTATTATATAATCTACTTCGGTTAAAAGACATTTTTAAATTTGCTTAAAAGATGATTGTGCGCCAACAGGTCAATAATTTTTTCAGCTAAATCTATCACGAATTACTAAACCACGCAGGTAGTGGCCAAACAACTTAGAAACACCATACATATCTCACTTTGCCCGATAGCTCGAAAAACCTCGACATCCCCAAAGCAAAGATCTGTTAAAAGTGTTACGCAGCGATACCGAAGTACATATTATTAATACAGCAAAAGCACCAGAACTGACCCAAAGTTACAAGCAACAATTCTATCGCCTATGGCACAACCGTTTATGCGTCGGGTCCCTCCGACCCACGTGAAGGATCATTTTCCCAGCCTTGGCAGCCTTGAACGTCTGCAAAGCTTTGGCGTGCGTCAGTCCGCTCATCGACACTCCATTGATCGCCAGAATTTCATCTCCCACTTTCAAAGTGCCATCCTCAGCTGCCTGACCACCAGCCATGATGTCCTTCACGAAGATACCCATCGATCCTTTGTTGCTGTCCGATCCACCAACGATCGAGAAGCCCCACTTTTTCGAGGCGCCCTTTTCCAGAGTAATCGTCAGCAGATCCATCGAGAGACTAGTCGCCCTTCGTGGATTCGAGACCGGATTCGTGTCGCGTTTTCTCACCACGTAGAATTTCCTCATGCCAGTCATCTTCTGATCGGACTCCTTTTTCGTATTGGACTCGCTGTCGTTCTCCATACGTTCAGCGGACACGTAGTTCCCGTCCTTGGTCAGCGCTCCGACCACTTCGCATTTGGACGGGTCCGCCAGTCGCTCGACAGCGTCAACGGAAGCTGGAACATCCGTCTTCTCCTCCTTCAACGTCCATACCGCGGAGTCGCTTCGAGTACGGACCAATATGTCTCCCCACGTGTCGCTCCAAGTGTCGCCAAGCTCCTCACCGAAGGTGAACGTCGGCTCTCTAGCTATCTGCAACTCGACGGATCCGAAACAGCTCTTCAGAGCGTTCCTGGCCTCCACGATCGACAATCCGCGCAACCTGCGCCCGCAAACGCGAACAATCTCATCGCCAATTCGAAATTGCTTAGACCTGCACGCTTCTCCGTTCGCGTCCATCTTTGAGATCACGTAGAAAGGCCTGGCAGCCTCTCGCCTCTCCACGGAAATACCGAGATTTCCGAGTTTCTCCACGAACAACTTCATCGTCTTCAGCTCCCGGCGGATCAAGCTCTTAACTGGCGTCGGGGGAGGCGGTAGATGTCCTATCTTCGTCGTCTGCGTGGATTTCTTGATCTTGGTCTTAGGGTTCACGGTGTCAGGACCCTCCGGCTCCAACTTGGATCGCGACCTCTTCGGACTGTAGTATTGCAGCGGGATGTTCGTGATCGTCGAGTTGATCTTCAACGCTGGTGGACTGTCTTTGCACGGGGATGAGGCATTCTCTAATAAATTCACTCCGCTTGGGGAGATGTTGGTGTGTTTCCGAGATTTCAACGGTATGTGAGACCTGGTCTCCTTCTGGAGATTCTGCAACTTCACCGCCTGCGACAACGGCACTATTCTGTCCGGTTTGGGGATAGACCTTTTCTCTGGTATCCTAGAGAGTATATTGTTCGTGGAACTACTGAATGTCCTCGACGCGCCTAAGTTTGGTGAAGGTCCCACCGTGGATCCTTTCGAAGCAATTGTATTGCACTTTGGCAAGGTGTTCAAGTCAGATTTCACGTAGTCGGCGACGCAATGGAACTCTGGGAACCCTGCGAAGGTATCCTCGTCGCAGCTGTCGGTCTCGTCCCCATCGGATATTAGGACAGTCGTGACCGTGCTCACGGATTCGTTTAACAGGCTGTTCTCCATAACGAGGGTCTCGTCGACGCAGGAAGGTTGCACCTCGGTTTCCTCGGCTACCGTCGTCGCGTCCGACTTCTTCGGGGGGCTCACTGGTAGCGACAAATCGATTCCATGGTAATCGTCGGACGTTATGGAGAAACTCCGAGGTTTCAGCATCGCTGGCACGGAGTTCTCGCTGTCTGGAGAGTCGGCTCCAGCTCGTGTGCTATCGGAATCGTAACCACTCTCGTCGCAGCCTAATCGCAGGCCGTTCATCAGGTCTTCTAAACCTGTTGCTGGGCAAGATCTGTGGGCATCGGTTCTGTAAACGAGAGCAGATGTGGTCTTAAGTACTTGAATTTGGAAGGTCACTTAGAATTAAGGACGTCAAGGGCTGAGATGTGTATTAGGAGGTTACATTGAAAGCTGTTTATGTATACGTGGATTTTACTGCAAATACTGTAGACAGTGAGAGCCGTCGTATATTATGAGTTGTTAAAACCACATGAAACAGTAACCGCCGAACGTTATTGCCACCATTTGAACCGTTTACATGATTTGATAGAAAAACGACTTTGAGACTTTGGAACTAGAAGATGTTAATCATCGCTTGCTTTATCAATAAATAGATAATCCTAATAATTTCATTGTACTCGTTCGTACAGCACACTATGGCCCACCCAAAACATTTATTTGAGAAACTTCATTCTAAAATGTTTCGTTCAATAGGATGTCACTTCAAGGATCTTTCTTATAAGAATTCTTAAAAGGAGTATTGTTGAATGTAGAAATTAATTCTCGAACCCTAAATTCTATCGACCATAGAATCTCTACTAGAATTGTTTTCGCTATTATTTTAATTTTCTTTTTAAGTGCCATCTACATATTAAACGCCAGTTTTGGTTATTATACTATCTCTCCAAAACTATCCTATAAATCCTCGATGTAGAACAACCGTAGCGATTGAAAAAAGCATCGATGAGTTCATTGATTCAAAACTACCTTAATTTTTACGATTTGGAATCCGACAATTGCTTGAGAAATGGCAGAAGTATGTGAAAAGTAGAGGAGATTAATTTAATGTCTTTCTTTTATGAATAAATATTAAATTCATGCGAAAATGACAAAAATTAATTTCTACGCCTAATAGTAACTCTCTTTCATAATGCATCGATTGCCTTATCGTAAGAATGAACATACTTAAAAGCAATCCTCACCTATCACATTCGTTGGCACTCGCACGAGTGCTGAAAAGGTTCTTCTTAATATTACTCAACTGACTGCTAAGAAAGTCTTTCGTCTGCGTCGACACGCTGTTTTTGGTGCCGTCGGTTGTGGACCGATTGGCTCGTTGTTTTGGACTCGTGCTTCTTCTAACGTTGTCCAACGTTTCCCTGGCAAATTCGGATCCCTCTTGCGTCTTTAACATACCCTGGTTCTTAAGAATGTAATCAAGGACGCGTTGTTGCTCCTGGAGGTCCTGAATGCTGCGACTGATCCGTTTCTTCTTCTCGTGCAGAAGAGAACCGCGACCTAGTTGACAATCGTCGACGGTGACCCGAAATGGTACATTTTTTATAGCGCCGTCGCTCAGGGTTTTCTCCATTGTATAATGATTGATGCTGACATCTTCCTCTTGGATCGTTACGTTTCTCGTGGATATGTCGCCGCTTAGGAAGTTGTTGTTCTTTTCAGCGCTTCTGAACAAGTTTCGCAACGATTCGACTCTGGAGATTCTCTTTGGCTTTGGTAACTCTGGCGATGCGCTGGCACTCTGAACAAAACCAAGTGTCGTGGTTAACGTTAAACGTTCGCATTACAAATGTTTATTGTATACTGATTAGATCGCTGTAGTAACTTTTAGTATTTCTCTGTATTGTTCATGTATTACTTATTTGCTCGATTTCGAGTATATATTTCATCTGTGTTTAAATCTATGTCAGATATTCTTCTACAATGCATCTTGACCATGAAAGATTAATCTGACGCAAACGAATAGGCTACAATGTATTATAAAGTGTCTCGGTCATTTATTTTTTGATGATAGGGAAAGTAAAATAAGGAAACGAGATTTCTCAAGGTCACGTTTCACGACATTCCAAAGTCAATGTATTTTTTAACGGGATATATCTTCATCGATGCAGCGATATGAACCAGAAACATATTTAGATTCATATAATATGTTCATCATTGATATATTTATTTTATTAAAGACACTGTCGATGGATTTAATATCCCCTAGAAAGTAGTTTCTTTAAGAAACATTTTGTGTCTATCATAGTACACGTCCCTTTCAAATAAATTCCTTTTTTTAGGCACCTTTTTCTACCATTAAAAACAAGCGAAGTATTTAACGTGCACAAATCACAATCTTCCAAACAAGTTCATTTTCTCTAAAATTTGTTTACCATTAAAAACAAACGAAGTATTTAACGTGCACAAGTCACAATCTTCCAGATCAATTTATTTATTCTGACATTTTTGCCTGCAATTAAAAAGAATTGAAATACCAATTGACATTTAAGGTAATCGAAGATGTACCATGACTTGGTAAATTACTGAATACGTGAAGACAAATCGACCTAATCATTTTGTTAAACGACAATTGTATAGAAGACCGCATTGCACGCGAATGGAAAATGGCATATTTACCTTTTCGTTCTCGTCCGTTGGGTCGCCGCAACTTTTCCGATTCGGACTCCATCGTCTTCTTCGGCCCGAAACCGAAAGCAACTCCGAACTATCCGATCTCTTCAGCTGATCCCATCTTCGACCTACTTTCCTTCCCCATGTCGAAATTCCTGCGATGCAAATCACGTTTAGGTCTTAATTTTTTCTTTGCAGTGACATCTTACTGTGCAAAAAAGTTCTTGACATTTCAATAAGTAATTATTGCTTGTCACTTCCGAGATTAATTATTCCATGAAACACTTACAAGCAACGTTTTCTATATAATCAGATTCAAGATGTCCGTGTAATTAACCTATAAACGGTTTCATGATTTTTCAAATCAATTAACAAATATATAGGTAACGAAAAATGGTAATATGAAATGGGATCTGTACTGAACGTTATAAAAGCATTAATCCTTTCCAATGTAAAAAGAAGAACACGTCTATTTTAAGTAATAAGATTGAGAAATGATTACGTCATGTATAATTAGTAATATTCAGCATCACTAGATACAGATCGATAAGAATATTCCTTCTCATAGCCAAATTAAAGCATACGTTTATTCTATTCAACAGTTCAGACATATTTCTTGAAAATAAAAAGTTTACATCCTCTAATCAGTTTCTATAGTAAATACTTGGGTAGATTATTTAGAGTAGAAAAGACTTAATCGCGTAATTTCTGAATTAGTCTAAATTAGGATTAATGGATGTGATTTATTTTTATTAATAATTACTGTCCAATGTTAGTTGCTCGCTACCCCATTAATTACTGTCAATTTCACGTGAAATGTAGTGCCGTAATCAAGACTAGCGTGCAAGCTATCACGTGCGCATTAAATGCATGTGTAACGCTCTGTGATTTCAACGAGAGAATGAAAACTATGAAGGCTACCGAAGGAACGACTAATGTTAGAGAACATATAAAAAGAGTATAAAGTAGCAATGTTGACTTGAGAAAGTCGAGAACTGTGAATTTAATGGCTACTTTGATCCCAAAAAAAAGAGAAAACTTATAATATGTAGCTGACAAGAACTACAACATTTCAAATTCAATTTATTTTATTGCGATTCAAATATAATTTACTTAAATTTAATTTATTTAATATAATTAAAATTTAATCTATGTGACCATAATTATAGTTTCATTTAATTAATTGTAATTTATATTTATTTGACAACTAATCGTTAATATAATGGCCATTATCTTCACAGACAACATTGGAAATTACATAACACAAAATTAATTAATTTCCACGATAATTTCCTTCCAAACCTGTAATAAATGAATCCATATAAATTGAAGGCAATAGCGCAGAATTAACCCTGACTAATGTTAATTACTAATAATTTCTATTACCTAAATTTAATATAATACTTTCAATTTTAATGGTAGTTCGTTTTTTAATTATTAAGTGTTTGAAATACTTAACAGTTTCAAGTATTTATTGGGTAATTTATTTAAAATATAATTGTTGTTACCTTTACGATTGGTCACGCAGGACTGAGAAGATGGCGGTTTCTGAGAGTCACCAGCATTTTCTTTGACGGCCGCTTGTCCCACGCCATCGTTCTCATTGTAAAACTTCTTTTTAATATGTTCGGAATTTTCATCAACGGCGGCCAGAGAAGCATTTCCATCCTGAGATATTGGCGTGGCGGAAACTAACTGAGGACTGGTATCAGAGGCCTGACGTTTGAACAGACGCATCGCGATAGCCTGGAAAAAAATGATAACCCAACGGTCAAGCGACTGGACTGGTTGAATGTGACAATTCTCCCTTTCAACGTAATCTACAGCAGAATATGCTGAATAATTTTATGCCTGAAAAAAATTAAGTTCAATTTAATTTGATATCCTGCTGAAGGGGATTTGCGCTACCATAAAATACTACATAGAAGCAAAACAAATTTGCATATTAAATTGGACTGTTATCTAATGGCAAGAAAAGATGAACTTTATAGAAAATGAACCAGTCATATTGTAGAATTAATGAAAGATTATATTTTCGTATTTGAAAATGTAAATAAAGAATTGCTTTGGGGAAATAATTGGAAGCTAGAAGATTAAACAAAAGAAGGTGAAGCTTATTGAGTACATCTCAAGTTTGCAATAAAACTTTCTTAATATGTTTAAATTTAATACAAAATATTATTTTATGTGACACTTTTATATCCTTTTTGGTTTTAATGAGTTTATTCAATATATTTATTATAATGAATAAAAGTAATTATATAATTCATATATTAATAAATACAATTAATTTGATTTAGAATATAGAAACGTGATATAAAATAATATGTTTTGTTAAATTTGAACATATGAAAAAACATTCGGATGATGATTATTTCTTATTATATGTTTCACCATTAATTTTTATTCTATATGAAAGCAACATTTATTATCAATTTTACTTTATTCACTTTTTTAAATTTGTCGATTTAATAAATTACGTTTATTCCAATATTTTAATGTGGCCAAACACGAAATCCCAGAACCTTCAACAAAGGTAATTAAACACATGCGTGTACCACACTATAATATTACTCTAAGCAATAATAAATAAATCGTATTCGAATAACAGACAACATATAACAATATATTCGTGACGTTTATTCAATTAAACAGTTACATTTGTATTCTCTCGCTGTAAAATATTTAATTTCATCATTCGATTTCAACCCTTTGCTTCTAAACGAGTAACGAGTAAACTGTTATTCGCCTTTTACATGAAATTAGTCATTGTTCGGAAGCTTCATCTAAGAACGAATTTTGAACGTCCGCGATTCTCAATTGGATCTACATCCTGTAAGCAATCATCTCTTGAATAAATACAGGAAGCGTTAAACGCTTTCTCTGCGAGGTAAAAAAGCGTAGAAAGGAATCGAGCACCAAAGGAGGAATCTCTCGAAGCAGGCAAACCACAAAAAGGACGGCGTGAACGGCCAATCATCGCGAGGAGAGGTACGAAGTGTCAGTAAAAGCCTGGATCATCGAACGATCACTTTCCCAGCATTCCAGGGACGTTTAGCAACGTTTCCTGCGTGCTGTCTGCAACAAGGAGGCAGCAGTCCTCTCCTACTCACGCCAACCTTATCACTACCACGCTTACGCCTTTGCGGTGATCATGCGTGTGCCGTTCCCAGTTTCGAGTTACATCCACCTATATCCGACACATCTCGAAAAAAGATCGATCGCAATGCCCACGGGGACTCGAAGATTGTTTCAACCGTTCATGCACCACTTCCTCCTTGGTGTCCTACGGGCAGCGATTAGTAACGGTGTCCTTCGGAATTTCATACCGTGACCCCTCGTTTTCTTTCACTCTTCCTGTGTATATCTTTCAAAGACTAAATCTAACTCTTTGCGTTCAGAGCCATCTTCTTGGAAAATATGCAAACACGATTAGCTTCGTATTAAACAATGAAACTTTGAAGCCATCTAATTTATTCTAATATTTGGTTTATGTGAATCTTTACTAGGCTGTCCCATAAATTCCCGGACACTTGATACCAATAAATCGTATTAAAATAACATTATAATCAAACAATAATTGTTCTTCAAAATAAATGCTATCTGATAATTTTGATCCATCTTTCTGCCAATTGTTCAATTCCAATTTGGATCATTTGTCATAAAGAATTTCAATGTAAAAATTCAAGCATCGAGTGTCCGGGAACTTATGGAACAACCTAGTTACTAGCTCCTAGCTACTAGGTCCTAGTAGATGTTGCGAAACATACTCATGACAAGAAATCAAAATTTTATATTTATATTTTTCGAATTCATGGAAACAGTCGCCAATTCATAGATTACAGAGTCATCAGAATACGTCCCAATGTAGCATAATAAAAGCTTGAAGGGCTACGCCATTTTTGCAACGAAAAGAAATCGAAATTTTCCTTTATAGACTCATAGTTTGGACTATTATAAATGATACACAGTTAGAAAGTCTCTATAACAATGGAGGAAAGTATTTCAAGTACTATTAAAACCCTTTGCCCTTGAACCATTTTAAATAGTGTAGCTTTGGAACTATACAATTTATTCTGATGATATTTGTCTTATATGAATCTTTAGACGTTGGTAGCCATATTTGTTACAAGAAGTTATAAAAGTTAATTTATTTCTGAGTAAGGATTTAAATTTGCTTTGTAATCTTCTCAAATTACACCATTTCATTCGAAGTATGCTCATACATCTACACCTGTCTTACACAAATGATCTTATTGCTTCCTTTAAATTCTAGCACCACTGCAAATACATATATTTCACTCTTTCAATTTAACACTGACATTTATTCGTATATGCCTTACTATATTTCACAATTTCACATTTTGTTTTGCCTTTTCGTACTATTTAAATGAAAAACTTCAAAAAAACGTGCCGTTTTTAACGTTTTATTTGGATCAGTTTAGGATGCATAATCACTTGTATAGAATTAATAAAATACTATAAAATTGTTGCGAGAAAATGTAGCTTATAAAAATAACCGATGAACTATAAACAAACTTTGATAATACAATCTTATATCGTTACTCGACTGTGTCAGAAAATGAAAATAGAACGAAAGATATATCTAAAATCATAGAACAGAGATTACATAAACTTGATATAAAAGTAACAGAATAGATGGTTTCATACCACACTAAAAAGCTTTTACATAATGATAACTTTAAAACCCTGTATAAAACACTAGCTTGAAAATATTCTTACGCTTTCGAACGTAACCTGCTCACCCCAGTTAGAGTTAAAGTATCGCCTACTCTGGAGACTTCAACGCTTGGTAAAAAGGTGCTCGATACTGTGGAAACTCTAACATACTACTGTGAGTAAATACCATTAATGAAATTATATATATCTGATGGCGCATTATTCTTTTGAATACTGAATTATCAATAATCTACATATTTTGTATTTGCTATGTACAAAACACTCGTAAATGTTACTTTTAAAAAATCATACAAACACGTTACTTGAAGTTTTCGAATTCCTTTGAATTTTACATAATATAATGTGTTTTTAACACAAAACACAACTTTTAACGGATACCAGTCAATCATTCGTGTAAAATAAAAAAAAATTATAATCCTCAATCAACAGAAATGAACTATTCGCGATTAATCAAGAGCTAACCCATGAACCAAAGTGAAAGGTCAGCAGTGGATATTAAAGACATTATTAAGTACATTCGAAGAGCGCCATTATGAGAGGGATACTGCGATGCAGTTATCGCGTTTTATTAATCACGGCTGCTGAGAATGAATACACCAACTAATCACGATACTTTGTATTGGCAACATTAAGATCAAAGTGTACCATCTAATCGTTTACGACATCGTCAGAGGTGTTAACTGTGCATTCGCGTTCATCGTACGTTATTGTACTCTAACAGCAGAAAGATTGATATTTTATCTCTACTTTCATCGAGATTATTCACAAATTTATTGACCGTTAAAATGGCCAGTGCTCTTTATTGCAAACTCGCACGCGGAATTTAAAAAATGTGCGCGAATCGTGCAACTTTCTTCGAGATATATTCCATTATGTATAATGGGTAGATTCACTATACCGATATCGGTGGTAATTACGCGCACAAATCTGAGGAATTCTTACATCACTCGCGTAATTATAAAATACTCGTTGAAAAACGAATATTACTTCATATTAATAGCACGTATGTTCCTAAAAAGTGACACAACTCGAATAACGTGATTTTTTAGTTATCACCATAAAGAAATTTAATAAGCACTCCTCTGTATAAGTTCGTTTGATTAAATTGTAGCGTTATTATAGTCTCATTCAGTTTTGATTTATGTTTATAATAAATTCATTTAATTAAAATTAAAGGTTATTTAATTAAATTCGATTATAATTAAGATGATAATCAAACGTGCAGTTACTTAATTTAGAAATCCGTTACTTCTATGATTCTCTTAACTTTTATGTTTCAAATAAAATTGTGTCACTTTGTATATGAGTGACATGGTTAGGGGCCTGAGCTATATCGTAAACATATTGACAAAAGTGGCAGTAGATCGTCATTTCATAGTCTATTATTTTTGCATATTATGTTTTTATGAAACGTCCATTTAAAAATTCCTTAATCTTAGTTATTCCCAACCACAAGTACCAATCTATTAATGGCTCCTTTCAATATAATTATTTCAAGTAACTCAAATAAATAATAGCTTTCTATGTTGCATTAATTCAGTACTAGATAACAATTACGCTAAGTATAGCGTAACTGCTCTATATACCGCGTATCCTGAATATTAATTCTCCAAACAGTAGGTACTTTCAGTTCTAGTTGCTCCAGATAATAGGTGACCTGGCAATGAGTACTAGGTGCTTCATAAGTATACTATTATACGTATTAGCCTTAAATCATTCAAAAACTAGAGCAACATTTCACATCTGTATCTAACTTCAAAGTACCAGTACATCCACTTTCAGGATCGAAGCGCTCGTGTCCAGAATAACGACAAAATTTTATTCGAATAATAAGTGATGAATCAACTAACAAACTAACACATAATTTATTCGCGATGTTTACTAAATGAACGGTTTAATTTCTAATATCTATTGTGAAATATATTCCACTATAGAATTAAAATTGTATTCGTTATATTAATAGAAATGTGTACAATGTTGTTTAACTTCAATTCGTTGTTTGGAATCTTTATCTGCATAAGAGTTCCATCCAGTTTTGATTTAGG